TTGTTACGCTTATTTTCCAAGGGCGCAATGTAAGTGCAGGATTTGAAAAGCATTATTTCCTCCAATAAAACTCAGAAAATGTGTATGTTTTATTCTTGCTCTAGTTAAGTGGCAGTCTTGATTTTGAACAGCAATATAACTCCAAAGGAAAAGTCATCTTAGCTTTGAATTTGATTAAGTCGACATTCATCATCAGTAAACCTTGCACAATCTTTTATTGTGTGGCCTTATACTTACTTGATGGTTAATTTTGTGAGGTGGCCAAACTTTTTAATAGTGCATCTGTTCAAATAAAGAACAGACAACGGTCCCCACAATGCAGTCTACTTAAGATCTGTAGAAGTCCTGCATGAGAGAAAACTAGCTCTGTTCAAACTACTCTTTAATACTGAAAATTCTGTTCATAGAAGTTGCTGGACTTTTTTTTTTTTTTACGCTAAAGACCTAATCTGAAGATAGATTCCTGTCAACTAATGATTTCCTAAAATAAATAATTGAAAGCCAATCTTAAAACATACATTGAAGGTACTCTTTGTATTTCTCTCTCACACACACACACTCTTTCTCTGTCTGTTTGTGCTTGCTCACTTGTGTGTTTAAGTTGGTTCAAAAATGACAGAAAAAGCAAAATACCCAAAGCACAACAGGCTTTGTTTTATCAAATTGCCATCCTGTATCTTAAGGCAGATCTCAGCAATTCTTGCAAGTCATTACCCGAATAGTATTGAGCTACTTTAATGATGTTTCAAAGCAATACAACAGCCATAACTTAACAGATCACAAGATCCAAATACCTGAAATCTTTTCCTTTCACTAAACTCTGGCTTTGTTGGTTTTGTTATCCTAGTCAGATGACCCCAGTAGTAATCAGTAAATAGAAACTGTGGAGGTGATGAAAGATCTTGATGGCCTTAAACTAATTAGCAGCTCAATTTTATCATAGCTGAAATAGTTACTTTGACATAAGGAATGACAAAGTTAGATTACTAGATTGTTAATCATCTTTGGAGGTTGGAGTCACAAATGTGCAAATTAGACTCAACTGTGGGCATATCCAGACTGATGATTTCTGCTGATTGTTACTGTACTAGTCATGTTACTCCTTGTTATTTCTCCATCCAAATGCTTTCCTGTCCTTAAAAACATTCATTTCAGTTTATTTCTCAGCATCTTTCTTTCGGCATGAATTGTGATATTAGATATACATAGATGTACCCAACCCAATCACTTCTTTGCCCAGATATATTTCTAAACATGCTGGAAACCTTCACATACTTTCCTGTTTCTTTTCCAAGTTCTCAATATTCTTATGTGGAGCGTGATCTGACCCCAGGAAAAAAACATAGGAATATAACTGGGGAGTGGGAGAGGGAGTAAAGTGCAGTCTGTGGGCTGCATTTGCCCCCCCCCCCCAGGCTGTTTAATGACCTTCAGGCTTCCCCAAGTTTCAAACAATGTTGAAAAAATATTCAACCCCCCCCCCCTTTGCTTTTAAAATGCCACCAAATGCCCCTAGTCAGTGGGGTGCATCTTCTACATATGTTGGAAGCCCCTCCCTCGGTCCTTGTTTTTTGCCCAAAAAGGCCTTTAAAAGAAGAAAATACATTTTTTATTTATTTCATGTCAAAAGCATTGCATAAATAAATAGGTATAAAACTGATAAAATAAGGGAGCAAAAGCAGCTAAATAGTTTTAGACCAAAAACAGGCAACAGCGACTGCATTGTCTGTAGCTTTAATGAGTTCTTCATCTGTGCATGAGGCGTTGTGGACAAGCATACAGATGTGGAGTTGTTAGTTCTGCTCCACAGCTGCACAAGGTGAAGGATTCTTCTAGGTGGTTCCATTTTGCTACGTTGTCTTTTGATCTTCCCACTCCATTTCTGAGTCTATTCAGAGACTTCCAAGTTGCCCATTCTTGGTTTGCTTCTGGAGGAAGACCCTCATGGGAGAACATCCAGTTGGAATTGCCTGATTTTGCTGCCCACAGGGATATTCTTGTTGTTACTGGAGAAACAATTAGTAGAGTGGTGGTTCGCATGGAACTTTTCTTTGATTTAAGTCTACTGGGAGGAGGCTGACAGCCATGCAGTGGGTGGCTTTCACAGTGTTCAACCTTATTTCTCTCGCAATTGGCAGCAGCTTCCTGTCACACATCTGGGGGGGGGGGCAGTGCCAGCTAGCTTATAAAGTTAATCAACAGGTATAGGTTTAAGACATCCTATGATTATTCTACATGTCTCATTCAGTACTATATTCACCTGCTTCGCATGGACAGATTTACATCAGATCAGGCAGGCATACTCAGCAGTTGAGTAATGATTATGTCCATTAATATAGAAGGTTTGTCACTTGCTAATGAAGAAAATAAGTGACTTGCGGACACTTCTGTTTTGAAAAAAACATCTGGGCCCAAAAAGACCTTTGAAAAAAGAAAATAAATGACTTGTGGACACTTCAGTTTTGAAATAAAAATCACCTGGGCTAAGATAGCCCAAGTAAGCCCACAGCCCATTGAGGGGATTGTTTTTTTTTCCAAAGGAGGGAGGCAGAATCACAAGATCTAGAACCGTGGTTCTCAACCTGTGGGCCTCCAGATGTTTTGGCCTTCAACTCCCAGAAATCCTAACAGCTGTTAAACTGGCTGGGATTTCTGGGAGTTGTAGGCTAAAACACCTTGGGACCTACACAGGTTGAGAACTACTGGTCTAGAAGCTAACACAGTCCCCTAACCTTCCACAGTTGCCCACCTCTGTAATAGAGCCATTGTATTTTACCACTACTGCACTATAAAAATAGTTCCTAAAAACAATTCCTTTTAAAAAGCAGTAAACTTTTTATTAGTCAACTTGAGAAGAATGGAGGAAAGTTTCAAATAATTCCCTTTCCAAATTTTGTACTTCAGTTCAAATTTTAAGTGGTATCATAACCTTGAACTGGTTTGGAAAGGACAACCTCTGCTACTCCATTTTCCTTGCTGTTTTTCAAAGGTCTCATTTTCTCTGTCCTTTCCATTCCTTTCATCATGCGTCAAGTGCTGCATACTGAATTCAAAGTGTAAAAGTAGTTTGCACTCAATTAACTCAGCAGGAGGGAGAGAAGTAGGCTCATTTTGGGGTGTGTTTTTCAGGTTTTCCTAAACTCAGTACACAAATTCCAGGATTTTTATGTTTAAACAGTAGCTTTGCGTGTTCTCCCTATTTAAAAACAACATTCTGACCACACATCGACATTGCTCAACCACAGGTGTCCAAATGATCAATTACAAAATGTTCAAAAGTCATGATGTATGGAATGGTGAGCTTTCCAAGGACAGGAGACTTCTGCTCTGTTGTTAAGACTTTAGAAGGGTGGACAAAAAGCAGAATTGTAGAGTGAAAAATAAGGTGAGTGAAGGCTAATCAATGGAGGCCAAAAATAAGCGAGAACCCCAATATCTACAGGAGAAGACTTTCTCTCAGTCCCACCACCACCGCAGGCTTGTTTGGTGAAGACATGAGAAAGAGAACTTTCTCAGTGGATGTTCCCACCCTCCGGGGTTCCCTTCCATGGGAGGCTAGGCTTGCCCTTTCTCTGCTTCTTTTTCATTAGCAAATGAAGACATTCATACTCAAGAAGGCTTTTAACATGTAAGCAGGAGAGATTTATGAGGATATTTTGCTCTTTGTTTTATTTTTTATTAAATGTTCTATATTGTTTTGTGTGAATTTTTAAATTGTGAATATTTTAAATTGTTTTGGAAGCCACCTTGGGGTTCCGCTCTAGAAGCAAGATAGCATACAAATGGAATCAATAAATAATATAAATAAAAATGGATAGATGGATGGATTGCTAAAGTGAAATCTAAAAGATCAACTTCGCTGCCATTTGCCATTTATGACGGGGTTTTGGAATCTAAGGCAGAGAACTCTAGTTCACCATCAAAGTTTTTTAAAAAGGATTACAAAGGATGTAGCTATGTCAGTTAAAAAGGAACCATAATGCTATGACTATTGCAAGCATAACCCTTTGGAATTCACACTGATGTTTAATGCTTAGTATCCGTGGCAAACATACAAGGCATTTGGTTAACCTGCCATGTTTTCAGATTTCCATGATACACCAGATGGAACTCCCCTGGCTGTCATTTGAGATGCACATCCCAAACTTTTAATTGCTGCAATTTGCTCAGTCTGGACTGTTGGTACTGAAATGTGCTTGTAAACTGCCCTTGATTCAGGATTCAGTAGCTAAACTGTTGCCAGTTTGTTTCCAAGCCCAATTCCCTCTCAAAGCCCTCGTCTGTCTGGATCCCAGGCATTTGGAGGAAGGCCAAAGGTGCCTTCTCAGTGTGCCTTAAAATCTTCCAAGAACTTTGTCCTTAGACTGATTTTCACAAGTTCTCCGCTCTACCTGACATAGTTGTGATAAATCTTAGTGACTCCTTTTTGTCTGGCCTCCCATGCAAATATGAAGACAAAAATAAACAACATTCTCTGTCTCAGTCGCAGTCAGATGCCCCAGATTTTCAAAGGATTACTTTGAGTCAGTTTTTAAGGATTGCTGTTTGGTTTTGTATGTGTCAGTTTCTATATATGTGAGGAGTTCCTTTCACTATTTGTAAATTAAGCAGTGATCCATTGATTTCAGTTTAGTTTAAGTAGATAAACATTTATTATTAACTATTTAGTAAATATGTATGGGGAAAACTTGTAAAACTTTCTGCTTAGTTTGATTTAAGTGAAACATGCTTTTCTTTGCAGAACAGTGGACTTGAAAAAAAGCTCCAGTATACATACTGCAATATGTACATTAGGCTGTGGCCTTAAATACTGTTGTTGTAATCAGCTCTTAATGTCAGGTGAGATTTGAAAATCTCAATAATACATTTCAAGTTATGAAAGTGAGATTTCATAACTGAAACACCTTGACATCCATTCTGCAATCTGGAAACACAACGTTTACAGATGGTTGATCCATCAGTAGTTGTGGTAATAACACAAGTTCTTTATTTTAATCTAGATTCAGATATGGAAGATGGAAAAGGACATTGATGCCAGGGGATATTTATTTGAAGGTAGCATTTTGTTCTCTTTTTGTCAATTCAATTCAGATGAATGGTCATATTTCTGGAAACTGGAATAGCTTTTTTCAGGATGCATGGGCAAATGTAAAACGTGTGTGTTACTACGTACCTATCCTTCAGCTCACTTGTAGATACTCTGTAGTTTAGAGAGACTTTATTCTAGTCCCCCAAATAGGTTTGTCTTATTTACAATAATGCAGGTTATTTACTCATGTTGCAAATCATGTAGTGCAGTGGTTCTCAACCTTCCTAATGCCACAACCTCTTAATACAGTACCTCATGTTGTGATAACTTCCAACCATAACATTATTTTCATTGCTACTTAATAACTAATTTTGCTACTGTTATGAATCACAATGTAAGTATCCAATATGCAGGGTGTATTTTCACCCTCTGGACGAAATTTGGTGCAAATACCCAATACACCCAAATTTGAATACTCATAGGGTTGGGAGGGGATTCATTGTGTCATTTGGGAATTGTAGTTGCTGGGCTTTATAGTTAACCTACAATCACAGCGCATTCTGAACTCCACCAATGATGGAATTGGGCCAAACTTCCCACACAAAACCCCCATGACCAACAGAAAATACTGTGTTTTCTGATGGTCTTTGGTGACCCTTCTGACACCCCCTCACGACCCCCTCCCCAGAGGTTCTGACCCCCAGGTTGAGAGACACTGATGTAATGGATCATTTCCCCTGCCAATTTTTCTCTAAATCCCAGTCCTTTCAAAATTGTATTATAAATTGGAAACTGAAGGTAAGATTTATTTAGATTTTTTGTAGTGGGCCATGAGTCACATATGCCCCACACATTCAAGAGGTTTTGTTGTCGCTGACAATGCTTTTCTTCATCTCCTCTTTACCATCAATTCTCTTCAAAATGTGTCTGAGCTTTTGATAGGTACAGGAAATGCAATATTTAACAGGTATAGCATTCACAGGAATACAGATTCCACTTTTTAAAAGACATCCAAGCAATATTTATTAAATTTTCAACAGGAGATAGACAAATATATAAAGCATTTTTGAGCAGGGAAAGTTGTCAAGTTTCATGAAGTATGTCCAGAGAAGGGAAAGTGAATGTTTTCAGACCTAGAAACAGTTCGCATTTCCATTCAGATAGCCCAAGCAAATGGACTAAATACATATATATGCTGTGTACACCCATATCAGAGCAAGAAGTGTCTCCAGACACAGTGGGTCATATAGATAGCCAAAAATGACCCAGTTGCACTATGAAAGTCGTTATATGAATTGCTGACACACTACTAACCATCGCTTAAAAAATTATTCTGCAATTCCTAGAATTCCCTGGGCAGCCACCACTAGCCTGGCTAGGGCATTCTGGAAGCTGTTTTTAAAAACCAATAATTTTTCCAAACCATGTCATGTTTAGTTTGGTTCCTAGAACTGTTGCAATTGTCAGTGGGTTCTCCTATTTCACTGTGTGTTCTCCCAGTTACCAATCATGCCAAATGCATTTAGCATGCCAGTTTTCAAAACAAATGCACTGCTGTTCAAACCATCAGAGCCAGCAATGTTCTGAGCTAGTTTTTGCCTATCTTTGTAGTTATGTGAGAGTTCAGACATAACTTCAGACTAGAAATTGTTGTAGTTTGAAATTTTTGTTTTCCCTCCCTTTTTGTTTGTAATTTATGATTGTTTATTGTAATTTAATAAATCAAACACAAAAAACTGTATTGTCATGCTGAGTTATCTCTTTATGCCGGATGCACATCTCTGGTTGTGACAAGTACGGATCCAGATACAGTTGTAGCTTTTGCCTCTCCATAGATACAGAATATCCTCCAACATTTCACAGATGGAAGCCAGGGCACATTAACCAAGCAACATCAGAATGTAATCAAAATGGTAAAAGGTATTAATGAAGAAGGGCACACAAACTAAAAGAAACTGTAGTGGTTTGCTTTCGCCTATCGTGTGGGCCTACTAAGATGACAATGAATCCCACCTCTCCTCTGCTGAGTTAATTGACTGCAAACTTTGAACTCTGTTAGCAGCAATGCAGTTAATGGAGGACAAAGCAATAAAATGAGACAAGAGAGAAACAGAGATTTCAAAAACAGCTGGAAAATGGGATAACCAAATTAATCAAGACTGTCCCTGTCTAAGTGAGACAGCTGGATATAGGAAATCTGATGTAGGGCTGAACCAAGCTGAAATGGTGCTGATTATGGATGATACGAGGGACGTTCATTAAAGATTTCCCCTGATCCACTTCCTGTGGACTGAGAGCAGTAAAACTTGGAGCAGCTATTAGTCCTTCTCTACATAGGTGCCACCTACATAGGTGCCACCTAGGGACACACAATTCTCCCATCTTTTTAAGCAACTGTAAACACCTGTAAGCACCTCACTTGTAGAAGTCGACAGATTGCTCCAAAAGCTTTGTTGTGGCTTTGGAAATCAGTCTCATCATCTGAAAAATGCTTGCCCTTCAAAAATAAGGGTGGAAGTCTGATGGTGCTATATTGAGTGAATAAGGGGGATGCAGTAGAATTTCAAAGCCGCAGGAGCATGCCTGCATTTGGGCAACATGTGAGTTGTGAACTGGTGCATTGTCTTGCAAAAGACAGACACCTTCGATAAGCATTCCATGTCTCTTGGTTTTGATGGCCTCCCATAATTTCTGCAACAGTGAAGCATAGTATGCCTCAGTAGTCATGGTACCCTTTGCTAGAAAATCCATCAATACTACTCCATGCTGGTCCCAAAATACTGTGAGCATGACCTTGCCTGCCAAGAGTTGGGCACATGCCTTCTTTGGAGGTGGTGAGTCATGATGCTTCCATTGCATTGACTGAACTTTAGTCTCAGAATCATAGTGATAGACCCAGCTTTCATACTGTGTGATCAGTCTGTTGAAAAGGTCCTCCTAGTTTCCATGGCATATCGTCAATACAGTCTTAGAGCATTCACATGTTCCTGCTTCTGGAAAGGTGTGAACAATCGGGAGACCCAGTGAGCGAATACCTTATGCATGTGAAGATGTTCTTGGATGATTTCTTCTGTAGATCCCACACTAATCTTGGCAATTTGGGCTAGGTGGCGAATGGTTACACAGTGATTTTCCAAAATGGTGACCTCCACTTGCTGGATGGTATGTTCATTGATAGCAGGGTGGGGTCATTCTGGAATTGGAGCTGTTTGCACCAAAGTCTGACCACATTTGAATTGACAATGCCAGTTCTTGACTACGTCATATGATGGGAATCATCACCATAAACCTCTTTCATCTCATTGAATGTCTTCTTTGGTGTGTAGCCTTTCAAGTAAAGGAACTTGATGACTGCTCTGTATTCCATGGGTCCATTATTAAACCTTAGACACCTGTAAAATCAAGACCGTTATCAGTTCTGTGTTGTAAATTGGCACATAACCTATAGAGACTTTACACATGTGCAGTTTCAGCAAATAGGACCCAGATCAAGGGAAATCTTTAATGAACGCCCCTCATAATCCAACATTTTTAGCAATTCTTTCTTATCCTTATATTCAGATACAGCCACTGTGTTGAGCATAAGTTCTTATGTGTGATTTTTCAAAAAGCTCAGAATCCCAGTGATCTCAATGATTACAGAATGTCAAGTTGAGGGGCAAGTTTTCTGTGAGGGAAAGAAACGTGCTACGTGGTTTGCTGTTGTATAGGATTCATGTAAGTATAAGCCGGTTTGTTAGGATCTGTTTGTGTGTGGAAAATGGGTAGTGGCCACACAAACACTTTAAAATACATCTGCTTTCATTCCTTCCATCCAGGGGATCCAATGATTATGTACATGACTGTACAAAACAGCATTTATATATTTTTCTATGTAGCATATTTTTCAATCTCAGTCAATATGTTTTCATATACCTTTGGGAAGAAAGGCAACTTGTAGTCTCTTCTTGATTCTTGGACACTGCACAATGTCTTGCGTTCACTTACCATGTGTGAAGAACAAGGCCTCTTTAATTTTTCCTGCTTTTGACTATTTCTCAAAGACAAATTGCAGTGTCTCTGAGGACACTTGTAGACCGAGGTGAAGTAGCCAACACAAACACTGCACTACGTTCTTGTGTCCCCCGTGAAGCGCTGTATTTTGTAGAGCTGGTTCTTCACTTCATTTCTTTCAGGAGTTAGCGGCTGGGCTGTGAGAGGATGACGGGTTTTTATAAGGTCACTTGTGGGGGGAAAGAAAGAGTTGCTCATACAAAAGGAAATGTGGCAATATATTTGTGCCTTCCAACTTCCTTGATTTGGCAGCAACAGTTCCAATTAATCCTCTGTCATCTCACTTTTCCAGCTGCTTTAAACATGTCTGTTTCTTTCTTCTGCTCCCACTTTCTTCCTTTGTCCTCAGCTTACCTCGATTGCTAAAAACTGTTGGTGCTAGTTTGCACACCACTAACTCAGTCAGAGGAAGAGAAGAGGAGAGATGAAGAAGGGGAAGAAAACTATGTCTTTCCCAGTAAAAGCAAAATGTTGCAGTCTCTCTTTGCTTGTTCTTCTTCATTAATACCTCTTCCCATCTTTACTACATTCAAGTGATGTTTGGCCACACACATCCTGGTTGTGGGACAACAGAGGACTATTCGGGGCTCTGCTTGCCAATTGGGGAGTTGGAATATGTGCATTTATACACCTTTCTGAATCTCTATATTTGCATATCTTGGTTCTGAAAGAAGTGTCTTCTCATATGCAGTTTATTTAGACATTGAATAAATACACAGCCTGCCAAGAAGATTCTGCCTTCACTCCTGTGTTTGCATATTTGTTTTCAAAATCATTTTATTAAAAATTCTCCATTCCTCCCACCCAGTCATGTCATATATTTAGCATAGGTAGATCATAAACTGTACACGAATACACAAAAATGCTCAACTTGGAGTGCAGTTCCATGTGTAACTTTCATCAGAAGAGCCAGAGAATTCCATAAATAACTGTAGCCACCTTTCTGTATCCTTGCAGGGGCAGGAGAGCATTA